TATTTCGTTATATTAACTGATGTGCATTTGTTTTGATGTAACTGATAATTTTAATTAAATAAATTAGATATTTTAAATTATAAATAATAATTATTAATTGTGAAATATTAATTATCAATTATTAAAAAAAAAAAACTAATCGAAACTGCCCTCAATTACATCCACAGTGAGACATTTGTTTGGTTTTTTTTTTTGGTTTAATACCCAATTTGGTCCCTAAACTTTCATTTCAAAACTTAATTCGTCCTTTAACTTCAAAAAGCACTCAAGTCATCCTTTAACTTTATTTTTCTATAACCCAAATCGTCTGACAAACTGCATACCTGGCACGTTAAGTGTCCAACAATTACCACTTTTAATTTTTATAAGCTTACGTGGAAAAAACAACACAGCCAATGGATAACACGACAACAAATTCATTCAACCTCGCGTTTCCGTCTCTCCCACCTTCTAAATAAACCAGTGGGGAACTGTAGACATTTAAAAAAGAAAGGAAAACTTCTCAAACTTTGCAGGAACAACACTGCAATTTTTAGTTGGATTTATCAACTTTGTACAGATGGTATACATGGAGCCGTCCTCCAAAAGTGAAGAGAAGATCCATGAGGGAGCAATTAATTCATAATTAATTAAGCTACTATAACCTTTAAAAAATATAAAACTAATTGATTCATTAATTGGGTTTTTCATTTTCTCCGACGAGAATCCCACATTAGATGCATCTTCATCTTCATCTTCTCCGGCGAAAAAGCCATATCAGAATTTGGGTTTCTTGATCAAATCTAGCAAGCAAAAATCGCATCACCTAAAGCAATAAGAACAACCTACAAAGTCAAAATCAAGAATCCCATTTCAATACTCCAGATCCCAATACATGGACATGAGAGAAAAACCCAGATCTAGGTTCTCACGGTCAACATCGAAGAAGCTTGGTTTGGGTGGACATCAGAGGGCCCAGACCTCTTGAAACCTCACGCCTTTGTTTTTGTTCTCCTTAACCTACGCCGCTGCCAACAGATCCGACTTGGAATCAAGGGTTTCGAGAAGAAAGAATCAAGAGTAGTTCCAGAGGATTTATGGGTTGAAGAAGAAGAAGGAATGGTTGCCGGTTATTACCAGAAGATTTAGGGGTTTTCGAAGAAGAAGGGATCTAGGGGTTACAGGGGAAAAGGAAAGAGAGTGAAGTGAAGAATCTGGAAGGGGGAGGTGAGTCTGCATCGATAAAGGAGACAATGACATGTTTGCCCCACTATTTTGTTTTATTTAGAAGGCTGGAGGGACAAAAATCAAACGTGGAATAAAAATTGGTGCCAGATAATCAATTGCTTGAGTTGTTTTTTCCACATAGGCTTATAAAAAATGAAAGTGATAATTGTTGGACACTTAACGTGCCACGTTTGCAGTCTGTCAACGGAAGGACCATTTGGGTTATAGAAAAATAAAGTTAAAGGATGACTTGAGTGCTTTTTGAAGTTAAGGGACGAACTAAGTTCTGAAATGAAAGTTTAGGGACCAAATTGGGTATTAAACCTTAATAAATTAATATCTTTTCGACTATCAATAAAGCAGTTTAGCTTAACTGATGATTATGTGCTGCGTTTCATCTTGCTTCTCACACGGAGAAGCGTGGCCATTGGAGGTGCAAAGACAAAATCCGACATGCTAAAACCAGCAAGCAAGCAAATGCCCTTTTGTTTGATTTAATGCATTTTCCTATACTTACCCCCATAATTTTTTTTTTTTTTTTCTGTTAACTTCCGCCATTTGCTGAGATATATATATATATATATAAAATTTTCCATAGCACCACCAAAATTTTTTTTTCTGTTAGCTTCCGCCATTTGCTGAGCCAAATGCCAAGCGCCAAATCACCTTACCGAATAAGAGAAGCAGCAATAAAGTTCCTGCCTTTTGTACACAACCCTCCACCAATATATAATCACCAATCCTCCACACCCATCCCATGCATTCATCCATCTCCTATTTTCATTCACAATGGCTTTGGAAACCCAAATGGGTCTGCTTCGAGGCTACATTCTGACGATGTATGATGAGGTATTCAATTTCTGTGATTGCTTTCTAATTACTTCTTTCAAGTGTCAACATGGGTTTTCATGTTTTTTTTTTCTCAGCTTGTTGCTCTTGTTTCTGGGATTTTGGTTTTTTTGTTCCCTTTTCCAGGATATAGGATGTGCCTTTTCTTTGGGGATGGCAAAAGAACTCTTCTTTTGTAACTTTCGGATTACTAAGATCAGCCTATTCGGTTTATTTTATCCATTGATTTTGTGTTTGGTTTTGAGAAGTGAAGATACATTTTGTATTGATAAAAGAATATGTGTTCAAACTTCATGATGAATTGTAATGTTAAACAAAATGCCAAGCTATTAATAACAGTTCTGGGGTCTCTCAATAATCTCAATTCTCAGGGAATGGTTAATGATCAATTTTAACAGATGCAAGCTATGAAGGATGCTATCAGGCCCGACTATGTTGTCCGAGCAATCACTTCCTACTGCACTGCAGCTCAAAATTTATTCTCAATTGACCTTTTTCATGTAATCATTTATTATGTATATATTTATGCAAGATTGGCTTTATATCGATTCATGGTTTTACTGATCCTTTTTTACCTCTTATCTGCAGTGAAGGAGATGATGTTGACTTCCGACAAGTTGATGTTATTGCTTGTGACCTGTATGCAAGAACCAGTAGGTATTTTTTCAGTTTATTCATTGATCAGAGTAAAGGCAGTTAGTAAAACCCCTTGGATCTTTTGTAACTGTTGCTTGTTGGTTATATTAAGCAGCTATTTCAATGTATGCATCTTATTTCTCATTTTCTTTTCTGACTACTCGTTTACATGAAATAAGTGTAGCTACTACATACATTTGAAATAATATTCTTGAACACAGTGCAACATTAATTTTTGGTTTTAGTTTAGGTAAAGTTTGTTTATTTTGCGTATTATTCAGCTCCATGTTGTTGAGAAAACATAATGGTTACTGTCACCAACAACCAGTGAAAGTTGAAGTAGCTAGTAA